AAATCAAATTATATTCCACAGTGTGGTACAACTTTTTTTTACCATATATATATCATGAATATTCTTCCAAGTCAGTACATAATAGTAATAGCTAACACTTATGTGCTTACTATGCTTACTTAGGGCATAAATATTAACTCATTTAATTCTCACAGCACCTCACTAAGGTAAGAACTATTAGTATATCCACTTTACACATGAGTTTAAGTAACTGCAAATGATCACAGCTAGTAAGTGGTAAAGATTTGAACCCAGAAAGTCTGCTGCACAGTCCAGGGACTGAAGACATATTCATCTGCTTCTCTCAAAGTAAAAATAGAGATATCCCAAAACCTGTTAACAACTGCATAGCACCTCACAGCATAAATATACTATAATTTTAACCTCTTCCAATACACATATAATTTTAACCTCTTCCAATACACATTTATGACATTTTTATTATTTATGCTAAAATGAACATTCTTACAGAATTCATGTGCTCTTACATTAATGTTTATGTAAGATAAACGCCTAAAAATGAAATGATTCTATCAAAAAGTATGCACACTTTTAATTTTGATAGGAAATTCCAAATTTCCTTCCAGAATTTTGTTCCACTTGTACTAATTTATAATTCCAATAACAGGAGAGGATTGAAATTGATTTTTAAGTTAACAAATATTATTGATTCATGAAAAGAGAGGCTCATTTTGAGTTTTTAATAGTGATATAGAATAGAATGTCAGGTTGATCACAATTATCCTCTGATTTGACAATTATCTGATGCATTAAACAAATGTAGACCACAGTTATATAGTAGATTCTGATTCCAGTGATGAAACCAACTATGGATGAGATACTTCCCCTATATGAGCCTCTGTTTTCTTATATAAAAAACATGGGAATTGAACTAGCTGAACTTAAAGAATTAAAACTCCCAATGCTATGATTAAGAAGTGACTTAAATTTATTACAAGCCTATAATTACAGTACAAGTGTAACAGGTTAGGGTCTTAAAGCTTCTATTTTCTTTAAATTATAATAATTATAGCCAGAGCATCTAGGCAATGAAAATTTCATTTTTTTAATGAAAATAGTCAATAAAATTTTTAGGATCCACCTGTGGCTTATTCTCAGTGGCTTCTTAATCCCAACCTGTCATTCCCCTCCTACCTAGCAAATCTGAATGTACCTCTGGAGGATATTCCCAAGTGTTGAGATGTACCTAGGAAATAAGAACCAGTTTTTTTGTTTTGTTTTGAAAATATTATCCTGAGACCCCTCTTTAGTCAGTTTATTCAACTAATAATTATTGACTATATTACTTTATACTAGGCACTGGTGCACAATAGTGAATAGAGGATCTCTGCAATCATGGAACTTACAAATCAGATGAGAAAGGCAAATAATCCAAAATACCCACATGTAAAATTACATTTAGGATAACAATGAACAAAAAATCAGTGCAGAAAAAACTATGCAATCTTTTGATTATTTTTTTTTTACTGTGACATTAAAAATTGTTTGACATAGGGAAAAAAGTAAATAAGGAAAATTATTTCACAACTTGCCCCATACTGCAAAAATAACAATCACAATTGCAGATAACTTTTTAAATCATCAGTTGTCTCTATAATAAAATCACCAAAATGTCACTACTTTTCAGTGAGGCAGGAATTTTTTTATATATAACCAAAAGTATAAAGGATTTGAAGCCCAAAGATGACAGAACTGAGAGTCCAAACAAAATGAAATACAATAAATGAACTACAATTTAATAACCTTGTTCAAGGAAAAAGTACATAAAGAAGTAAAGTGATCTATTATAATAATTCATGACTTGTTAATAATTAGCAAAATGTTATGAAATTACTGTTTTTTAAAAAACTGACAATCACCAGCCTAAGGAGAAAGTGGCATGTAAAAAGGAACAAAAATAGAATTTTTTTATTATAAAATAATACCAAATGCCATAAGTATATTAATATTTAATTTAAAATAAACTAGTTCTAGATTATCTGCAGCAATGAGATCAGTATTCACATAAATAAAGGAACTTCCCTGTGTGTCGGTTTCCACAACTACAAAATAAAGATATTTGCCATACCTACACCTCACAAGATTGGTGTGAAGACTAAATAAAGTATGTGCAAGCACACTAAAAAATGATGTCAGTTATTTTAAAAAAACAGCTTCTTTTTTGCTCCCACTATAACTTACTGCAATTTAACAAATAAAATTGGGTATATAGGGACTTCATCTCTTCTTCTGCTCATTATGTGGTAGAAGTGTTATAAAATGGACAAAAGACTGGCAATCAGGAAGAGAAAAGTTCAAAAATTTTATAATTCATAAATTGATTACCCCACAGAAGGTTGGCTGTTCAAGTATTAATGCTCTTACATAACACACACACGAATATATCTCCCAGAATCAGAGAAATTCTTTAACATATGTACGAAATTATTTACATCTATCACTCACCAATCTCTAAAACACAAAGTTCTACTACTATAAAAACATGAGATACACATGTATTTATCCACACAAACAATGTATTCTAGCTTGACATTCATTTTCTGATTAAAGTATCTTAAATTTAATGCAACGAAAGTTCAATGGTTCAGATTTATTACATTGAATGGAGTTTGTCAATTTAGCACACCAAAACTACTAATTATTATATGCCCATAGGTTTGAAGCAACTTCTAGCATAAATCTAAAAACTAATCCCCCAAAGTCACAATTTCATGTTATTATTAACAGTACATTTCATTTCCTGGTTTAAAAACAATACTTTACACTTAGAAATTGTTTAAACAGATTGCTTCTACAAAACTTGTCAGGTTGTTACTAGGTCTGCAGATACCCTTTCCTTTAAAACTGTTAAATTACAGAGCAGGAGGTATAGTTAACATGGTAACACTAACGACTTCTTCAAATTCAAAACAAAGATCACCATCAAAACAAATCAGGTGGAAGACATGGATACTGACCACTAACCCTGACAACATGTATTTTCCCCATTTGAAGGGTCTGCTACTATCATTCAAACCACATTAAAATCTATACCTATGTGCAACTTCCTTATCTGAAAAATTAAAATCCAGGCAAATTCAAACACATATCTATCACATGAGCTAAATATTATTTAGCACGTCAGGCTGCATTTAAAAGAAGACAGGGGTAAATACTGACAACTTCCAAAGCGTAAAGATATCCTCCACCTAAATCATTTGCGAATAAACCGATAGACTATATTCAGCAGCTGCTAGACTGGAGCACATCAAAGTTTTCCCTATACGAGAATGTTATTCCCACCAAAAAGGAACAGAAACTGGTGCCAGGTCCCCGGCATTTCCCAAATTATGCTTGATCTCCAAATGAAGGACATTTCCCCCAAGACCAAAGGCGAGAGGAGGGGTGGGGGTGGGGGGAGAACACTGGCAGGTAAGGAAGGAAATTCCGTCTTCGGCAGGCACTGGAGGGACCTGAAACCCAGGTCTCAGGATGGCCCTCGCGGATAAGCCTCAGGACCGAGGGAGGTTTCCAGAGGGGGCTGCCAGGCAGGGCCAGGACTCCCTGCGCTCCGCCCCGCCTCTCTCGCCGCCACCCCGGGACCCAGACCGCGGACAGAGAGAGCTGGGGCTGAACGAGCGTCCGTGGACCCTGCCAGGTCCTCCCGCAGCTCACCTGAGAGTGTGGCCTCCGCCCTCGGCTCCCACGGTGCATCCCGCGGGGCCTGGCGGAGGGTGCAGTGACACCGCCCCGACCGGCCCCAGGGCTCCCCGGCCTGGCCTCCCCGCTCCGGGGACGCACCGGGTGCCCGCCTCGCACCGGCTCCGCGGATCCTCGGGTCTGCAGGGAAGGAAGAAGAGGCGGAAAGGCTGCCTCCCCTCCCCCACAGCAAGCCAACCCCTGAGCTGCGGCTTCTGCAGTTCCCTGTGGCGCAGGTCTGGCCCCGCTCCCCCGCCCGGGAGTCACTTTGGCAGGGGCGGCCCAGTCGCCATTACAGCCCGACAACTGACACAGACGAGGAGCGGCGCTGGCGGCAGTGGTTGTGGCGGCGGCGCGAGGCAGGGCGGGAGCAGTCGGAGCCCAAGAAAACCTCGCGAGAACTGTCCCGAGACTGTTCCACAGGAATGTAACCTTCGGGTTAGAACCATGTTAAGTGTGGCCTAAAGGTGGAAGCTAGGTAAAACGAGGAGAGGAACCGCAAGGAAGCCATGTTTGATGTGGCGAAATTTGAGCTTTGCAGGAGTCCGACGGAGCCAAACTACATCCGCAGAGACCACCCTTACCCCCTTCCCTTTCACACTAATTGGGCCTTTTGGCTGCGCATTTCACCCGGGTTGGGAAAACAAGCTGAGGATTTGACAAGGACAAACTCGAAGTCTGAAAACAGCAGTTTCTCAGAATTTATGATGTCTCACCAATTGTACAAATAAATCGTCACTCCGATCAGTTTCAGAATAATTGCAGCTCTGTGGCTGCTGCAGTTACCCACTGCTGTCACTGTGGCCGTTTTACTCACAAGGGTTACAGTTCTGTTTAGCGTGGGCTCACTCTAATGGCTTAAGTCTCCACCAAGTAAAACAGAGTTTCCACCTATTACGTATTGGCCTGATATAATTGTGCTTTGAGAGGCCCTCCTTGGTCAACCTATCTTCTCATATTCTTGTCCTCTTTCCCCAGTCTCCAGGTGGTGGGTTCTATCATCTGTCAAGACTTAGTTTAAAGAACATCTCTTCTGCGAGTAATGCCACCTTCCACAGGTGCTCACTGCTCACAAGCTCTACACCCATCACTTTTCTCCACCTTCTGGACTCCGATAGTTACTTACCCAGAGGCTATTTCTCATCTTTAAGTATCTTGAGGACTTTAAGGTCTCTTTTTTCTCTCTGTATCACAAAAGGGCCAAGTACAGTAACTAGGACATTGTAGATGCTCAATAAATGTTTGTTGAATAGACCGTATCAATGAAAGCAAGAGGCAGCTCACAATTAATTTCTTTTTGTAGATCCCACAGCTATGCCTGAATAAGAGCTAAGTGGATGTATGAAAGTCCTACACACGTGTAAAATGTGCCTCCAGGAAGGTGAGCTGGAGGGAAGAACAGAAAATATGGGTAATCCATCAGTGCAAGTGGTAGCAAGAAAAACGACTTAAGTTTTCTCCAACCTTGCTCAATAATGCAGTGAGATAACTACTTTTCTTTTTTCTTTTTTTTTAAGGCAAGCATGAGGTGAAATTTATTGAGAAGAGAAAGATAGGATTGTAATAGGATTACAGGGCAAGAGCAAGATATAGGTTTACAGAGCAAGATAGCTACTCCACAGATGACCACCGGACCCCTTGCCGCAGCAGGGAAAAAAGAGTGGGATAAATACCTTTCATATGTTATTTTACTGAATGTGTACAATCACCTTATTAAATAAGTATATTCACTTTTTAAGAAAAAAGAAATAGGTTCTGAAAAACTAAAAAATTTGCCCAATATTATGTCATCGGTAAAGGGAGATATAAGATTTTGGGTCTCCCTTACCCTAAAGCTTATTTATACTGTTCTGCCCCATGCTACCTCCTGGGCAACAGAGAAAACACCAAAAGTTCCGTCACTGTGTCCACAGCCATGTTACCCTGGTGTCAGCCTATGCACAATTTCTACCTCTTGTACCTTATACTCATGTTTTCTCCTTGCCTCCCAAATATCATCAATCCCTTTCCCTTTTGACATCCCACAACTCTTATTGTTTACACCCTACAGATTTGCTTTTGGATATTTGTACTATTTGCTCATAGTTTCCTAAGAGTAATTAATCTCTGAAACAAGAATGGAAGGTTAGGGAGGCCGAGGCGGGTGGATTGCTCGAGGTCAGGAGTTCGAAACCAGCCTCAGCAAGAGCGAGACCCTGTCTCTACTATAAATAGAAAGAAATTAATTGGCCAACTAATATAATTAGCCGGGCATGGTGGCACATGCCTGTAGTCCCAGCTACTCAGGAGGCTGAGGCAGGAGGATTGCTTGAGCCCAGGAGCTTGAGGTTGCTGTGAGCTAGGCTGACGCCATGGCACTCACTCTAGCCTGGGCAACAAAGCGAGACTCTGTCTCAAAAAAAAAAAAAGAATGGAAGGTTAATACAAAAAGGTTTGTCACCTTTCCCAGAAGTCTCCACAGTGTTAGGCACATAACAGGTGTGCAGTATGACTCTCTTTTTTTCTCCTATTTCTTAGTAGACATCAAGATCAGATTTTTCTACACTCTATATTCTTCATTGATTACTATGGCTTTGACTCTTACCTCTCTTTGGACAACTAGATCTTGTCCCAAAACTAAATCTCTAATTGTCCGTTACCCATCTCCAGATAGATGCAGAAGTCACCAGCACCTCCAGCCCCCAATTAGGTTTATCATTTTTCCTGTCCTCAATCCCACAAAGCCAGTTCCTCTTCCTGCCCCCTGTATTTCCGCTAATGGCCATGACAGAACACCCTTCTGAGAACGGAAAGGCTCAAAAATTCACAAATATTATATATCCCTCTCTATTCCTTGCTCCTACCCAAGCAATTATTAAGTATCTAAATACTATTGATGGGCCGGAAGGTGGCTCACGCCTGTAATCCTAGCACTCTGGGAGGCCGAGGCGGGCGGGTTGCTCGAGGTCAGGAGTTTGAAACCAGCCTGAGCAAGAGCTAGACCCATCTCTATGATAAATAGAAACAAATTAATTGGCCAACTAGAATATAAAGAAAAAATTAGCCGGGCATGGTGGCGCATGCCTGTAGTCCCAGCTACTCAGGAGGCTGAGGCAGCAGGATCACTTGAGCCCAGGAGTTTGAGGTTTCTGTGAGCTAGGCTGACGCCACGGCACTCACTCTAGCCTGGGCAACAAAGTGGGACTCTGTCTCAAAAAAAAAAAAAAAAAAATACCATTGATGGATACTTCTTATATGTACTCCACTTTTGTCCAGTTGCACTACTTCTCTTCTAATTTAGACTCTCATTTTTACTGCTCAGATGATTGTAGTGTAGTATTCTTCCCAGAGTTCAGCTTGAGTTTTGTCTCTGCCTTCCCTCTACCTGCCAAGGTCAGTAAAAACTTCTCACCTCAGCCATCAGGGCTTTTTTCAATATGGCACCAGCTTAGCTTTTCATCTCCCTGAAGCGAGGCAACACAATAAAGCAGAAAGGGCAGGGATGTGACATCAGGAAGATTGATTCACATCTCAACTCCATCACTTACTTGCCCTGTGACCCCTCAAGAACCTCCATCTCATTGTCTACAAATGAAAGTTAATTATATGCAGTGTCTTAAAGATCAGACACAACATCTATCAAGAGCTTGGCATTAAAAGACAAACAGTGGCTAATATCACTTCCCTAAGTGGGAAGTGATTCATTGATTGGGATTGTTACATTCAAGCCAAACTGGATCTCAGACACAACCTGTTTATTCCTTCCGCTAGTCCTTTGTTCCCTGACCTGGAACACATTTTATCCCAGTTCACAATTTCAGCCACATTCTTTAAGTACCAGCTCAAAGGCTACCTACTACAGAAAAAATGCTGTGATTGTTCATACTTTGCTGACGATCTTTCACCCCTGAACTCTATGATGCTGTGTACCCCCTGTAGGGCAGTATCCACTATCACTACTCCTACGTTTATCTTACACATCATTGTCATGTTAGATTGCAAGGCCCTTTATCCCCCTCATAGTGGATTAAAAGCATGAACTCTGGAGTCAAACAGTCCTGAGTTTAAAGCCTGGCTGAGCTACTTATTAGCTATATAACTTTGGTGAAGTTACTTAATCTCTTTCTGCCTCAGTTTCCACATCTGTACAGTGGAGATTGCAATAGTACCTGTTTCATAGGGTTGTGTAAGGATTAAATGAAATAACACATGTAAAGGATAACACATGTAAAGGAATATAAAATGTATTCAGAATAGGAGAATATAGAGACAAAAAACAGATACATGGTTGCCTGGGGCTGGGGACTGGGGAGAGATATAAAAAAGTAGGGGAAATATCAGGAATGACTACTAATGGTTATAGAGTTTCTTTTTTATGTGATGAAAATGTTCTAAAATTGATAGTGGTGATGATTGCACAGCTTTGTAAATATACTAAGAACCACTGGATTTACATGGGTGAATTGTATAATATATGAAGTATATATCAATAAAGCTATAGAAAAAAAGAAATAATGTATGCAAAAGACATAGCATGGTACTTGGCATATAATAGGTGCTTTAAAATGTTGGTTATTTTTACTAAGCTGAATCATTTATTTTTTATTTTTTTAATTTATTTATTTTCAGCATATTATGGGGGTAAAAATGTTAAGGTTACATATATCGCCCTTGCTCCCCCTCCCCACTGAATCATTTATTTTTTATTAGCTGAATCAGTGCCTTGCATATACCAGGTACTCAGTATTTGTAGAATGAAATTGAATGTTTGTTGAATTTAAATTGTGGGTTGGCCGGGCGCGGTGGCTCTCGCCTATAATGCTAGCACTCTGGGAGGCCGAGGGGGGAGGATTGCTTGAGCTTAGGAATTCAAGACCAACCTGAGCAAGAATGAGACCCTGTGTCTACTAAAAATAGAAAGAAAGTAGCCAAACAACTAAAAATAGAAAAAAATTAGCCTGGCATGGTGGTGCATGCCTATAGTCCCAGCTACCCAGGAGGCTGAGGCAGGAGGATCACTTGGATCTAGGACTTTGAGGTTGCTGTGAGTTAAGCTGATGCCATGACACTGTAGCCTGGGCAAGAGAGTGAGACTCTGTCTCAAAGAAAAATTAAAAAAAAATAAATTGTGGGTGAATAGTTATATATTTTCTCTCCTGGGAATGTGAAATTTGATATTGATCTCCAGACAACAAATTTAGAAATGGTGATGTAATGATGTCATTCACTATTTGTAATTAATTTAATAAAATTATGTATGAGGACTGATTAAAGACATTTCTAAGAAAATGACGACTTCAGATACTGTTTGCCGTGTTAGAAAAGAAAAAAGAGAAGAAGATTAATACTTTTTAAAAATATATAATAAAAGAAAAAAAAAAAGAAAATGTCAAGCCTGTATGCCAAATCTGATCTTTTTCAATAATAAATTCAACCATTATAAAGCTCTCTCCATTCTAGGGATCGGTTTTCTGGTTACTTTTTTCCCTAGATTTACTCTTTTGGCCTAGTCTTGAACTTTTCTAGGGGATTTAGTATTCTGATGGGCAAAATTATGGAAAAACCAAAATTTATCAATAAGAGTTTGACAAGAAAACAGACATAGCTATCTATCTTCATATATATATATATTAATAAATATGTGTGTGCTTATGTGTGAATATGTGTGCATAAGCACACAAGCCTGTGCACACAACCCGAGGAAATACTGGACAGAGAGAAACTTCTGTGACATCAAATCCAAAAAGCAAAAGGAGAATAGGAATATCTACAAAGGCAGCATTTAACCACATTTGACTGTAATGGGATATTGAAATTTTAATTTTTGTCTGAAGTCCTAAGACAAACTGATAGCAGCAACCAGAGTAAGTTGTAAGACAGGCCCACATGATGCACATCTTCAAAGGAGAAATATGAGACCAAGCATGTGACTCTTGGGCCCCTCACACAAGACACTTCAGCCTGATCACTAATATGAATGGATGGAGAAATTATAGATTCAAAAACTTTTGGTTTGTGTTTGTTTTTTGGTTTTTGGGTTTTTTTGAAACAGAGTCTTACTCTGTTGCAATGGCTAGAGTGCATGGCGTCAACCTAGCTCACAGCAACCTCAAACTCCTGGGCTCAAGCGATCCTCCTACCTCAGCCTCCCAAGTAGCTGGACTATAGGCACATGCCACTGTGCCTGGATAATTTGTCTATTTTTAGTAGAGATAGGGTTTCTTTCTTGCTGAAGCTGGTCTCAAACTCCTAAACTCCAGGGATCCTCCCACTTCAGCCTCCCAGAGTACTAAGATTATAGGCGTAAGCCACTGGGCCGGGCCAGATTCAAAGAATTTGAGAGCAAGATTACTTTGGAGAGGACAGGCAGTGGAATGCAGAGGTAGCTCCCTCCTTACCTTAAGCTGGTAATAGGGGCTTTGAGGCGATAATACGGAAAGCTTGATTCTGAAAGGCAGAGTGGCCTGAGGCTTGATTCAGAACTGAAAAAGGTACAGCAACCTTGGCAGCTGAGTCAAGTACGAGGGAAGTTAAGTGTTTCAGTTCCTGAAGGAAAGTCAGAGATTGGAGGATCTAAGGGACCAAATGTTGAACCTGAAGTAGGAATAATTATAAATTGCAAATTGTAAAGGAAGGTATCATTTTAAAAGAAGAATCTCATGTGAATAACATTCTACTATTTGTGTTAAGAAAATGTGGAGACATAGGCCGGGCGTGGTGGCTCACGCCTGTAATCCTAGCATTCTGGGAGGCCAAAGTGGGCGGATTGCTCGAGGTCAGGAGTTCAAAACCAGCCTGAGCAAGAGTGAGACCCCGTCTCTACTATAAATAGAAAGAAATTAATTGGCCAACTAATATATATGGAAAAAATTAGCAGGACATGGTGGCACATGCCTGCAGTCCCAGCTACTGGGGAGACTGAGGCAGAAGGATCGCTTGAGCCCAGGAGTTTGAGGTTTCTGTGAGCTAGGCTGACGCCACGGCACTCACTCTAGCCTGGGCAACAAAGCGAGGCTCTGTCTCAAAAAAAAAAAAAAAAAAAGTAGATCCCAAGAGACTCTGCTCCACCTAAGAGTGACAGTAGAGACAGAAAAGCAGAAAGCCAGTCATAAGAGCACTAACAACATTACCAAGCAAGAATGGAATGATATTAGGGAAAAGAGAGAAGAAAGAAAGGATAAAAAAGCAATAAACAGACATGGTCCACCTTTGGAACATTGAATAAAAGGAAGAAATGAATAAAGAAAAAATTGACAATTAGCAGCAGCAGTCCAGAAAAGTTCAGTGATTCAAAAACCCTAAAAACAATTTTTTTTAAATGGCAAGATGCTTTATATCACTAGCAATCAGGGAAAGACAAAATAAAACCATAATGAGAAGCCATTTCATACCCACCAGACTGGCAAAAATTAAAAGGTCTGATAATATCACATGTTGGCAAAGATGTGAAACTGGATTTTTATTCACTTCTGATAGCTGTGTAAATTGGTACAACAATTTTAGAGAACATTTTGGAAACATGAAGCATAGTCGAAGATATGCCTATGACTCAACAATTTCACTCAAAATGATCCACATTCTCAAACTTTTTGTTACTGGATCACAATAAGATACTGAGCTTATGCAAGCATGTAAATCACCTATGTCATTAAGCACACTGTTTAGGGGTGAGCTGAATTTTTAAGATAAGACTTTCTTGATGAAGGAAGTAATATGTTGATGTATATTCTGACTCAAGCTCCCTATCTCATTGCAGACTTGTATTAAATAGTTCACTACCATAAGAAAATCACCCAGGAGCACCAAGAGACAAGTACAAGAATTTTTATGGAAGCATTGTTTAGGAAGTAATATGTTCATCAGTAGGAGAATAGGTAAGTAAGCTGAGGGATATTCATACAATGAAATACTAAGCAACAATGAAAATAAGTTTAAAGATAACTCTCACAAATATAATATTTTGCCAGACGCAGTGGTGTGTCCCTGTAGTCCCAGGTACTAGGGAGGCTGAAGTGGGAGGATCGCTTGAGCCCAGGAGTTCTGGGCTGTAGTGCGCTATGCCAATCGGATGTCCAGTCAATATGGTGACCTCCTGGGAGCAGGGGACCACCAGGTTGCCGAAGGAGGGGTGAACCGGCCCAGTTCAAAAGCGGAGCATGTCAGAACTCCCGTGCTGATCAGTAGTGGGTTCTCGCTTGTCAGTAGCCACTGTACTCCAGCCTGGGCAACATAGTGAGACCCCATGTCTAAAAAAAATAGAAAAAAGAAAATAAGAAAAAAACAAACAAATATAATATTTAAAAAGGAGGTTGCAATGGATATATATAGCATGATGCCACTTCCAAAGAGCTTAAAAATATGCACAATACCAGTGTAGATTACTTAGGAACACATACAAATGTAATAAAAGATTTTTAAATGCTAAAGAATAAAAGATACTAAATTCAGAAAAGCGACCTTTGATGAAGCAGAAAGGAAATTAGTATGTGGTATGAGTGAGCACAGGAAGCTCCAACTGTGTTGGTAATGTTTCACTTCTTAAGCTAGGTGTAGATGCACGGATGTGTAGCTTTTGTATATCCAAAATGCTGAATAATACATTTTTTAAATAATAAATAAATAATAGGAATTTTAAAATACATGTGGGGAATGATGTAGGACAAACAGTCAAGATGAAAAAAGTAAAGAAGCACAAGAATATAACTTCACTCGGTTGAAATGGTACCCTACTGATTTGGGGCTCAGGAAACTTTTCAACTTTGCAACACTGGACAGACAAGTACAGTTGTTATTTTTATAAGAGTTTAATCTGACCTTTACATCCAAGAAAAAGCCAGCAACAACTACCTTGAGGGTAAATTATTGGTTCAAGTAAAGAGCAACTACCACCTAGGGAATGGTAGGTTAAAATCAACTACCCGTCCTGGCTCTATTTTTTCACACCAGCAGAGAGGGGTCATCTCCTTGCCTCAACGCAGCCCCTCCTCTACTTAAATTCCTACCAGAGGAAGGTATGTAAAAAAAGCAGCACAGCTGATTCTAAATAAAAAGAAACTCTAAGGTAATGCTAACATTGTCCAAATTAGGATTTACTCAAGCCAAACAATTGTCTTCTGTGGCAATTTTGTTAATTACATTCCCATTACATGTTCTTTTATAAAACAATTTTCTGGCCCTAATGGTCACATGAAAAATTGTTGGTTTTACTTTGGACTTCTTTTATGTGACTTTTAATTTTTTTTTTTTCTAAACACGGGTGTCTGAAGCTTTTATGTGACTTTGATAAAAAGATTAATATACTAAAATTTAGTGGGATTAAAAACTAATACTTGGCCGGGGCGCGGTGGCTCAAGCCTGTAATCCTAGCACTCTGGGAGGCCGAGGTGGGTGGATCGCTGGAGGTCAGGAGTTCAAAACCAGCCTGAGCTAGACCCCGTCTCTACTAAAAATAGAAAGAAATTAATTGACCAACTAAAAATATATATACAAAAAATTAGCCAGGCATGGTGGCACATGCCTGTAGTCCCAGCTACTCGGGAGGCTGAGGCAGGAGGATCGCTTGAGCTCGGGAGTTTGAGGTTGCTGTGAGCTAGTCTGACGCCATGGCACTCACTCTAGCCTGGGCAACAGAGTGAAACTCTGTCTCAAAAAAAAACAAAAACAAAAAAATCCCTAATACTGGCCGGGCGCGGTGGCTCACGCCTGTAATCCTAGCTCTCTGGGAGGCTGAGGCGGGCGGATTGCTCGAGGTCAGGAGTTCGAAACCAGCCTGAGCAAGAGCGAGACCCCGTCTCTACTATAAATAGAAAGAAATTAATTGGCCAACTAATATATACAAAAAATTAGCCGGGCATGGTGGCACATGCCTGTAGTCCCAGCTACTTGGAAGGCTGAGGCAGGAGGATCCCTTGAGCCCAGTAGTTTGAGGTTGCTGTGAGCTAGGCTGACGCCACGGCACTCACTCTAGCCTGGGCAACAAAGCAAGACTCTGTCTCAAAAAAAAAAAAAAAAAAAAAAAAATCCCTAATACTTGAAATTAAGCTTTCAAGTATACATTTCTCTAATAATAAAAGAGTTATTTCAAGTCAAGAAAGATAAAAAGAATGGTTAATAAGTGGATCCACTCTAAAAGTAGAGTATCAAGTAAATAAATAGGAAATATATTTCAGAATTTGAAAATATTAGTGAGGCAGATGATACTTCCAAATATGGCTGCACCAATATATTTCATCCCCTTCTATAATGTGTTGTTGACATTCCTCCATTGAAAGATGGGATCTGTGTTCCCTCCTTTTGAATCTGGGCAAAACTTAGTAATGGCCTCAATCAAAAGCAGAAGTGACACAATGTGACCTCAGAGGTTAGGTAATAAAAAAATACAGATTCTGCTTTGTTCTCTCTTCCTAGGGACACGTGCCTTGGGAATCCTGATTTAACATAAAAGAAGTTCACTTAGGCCAGGCATAGTGGCTCATGCCTGTAAGCTCCGTACTTTGGGAGGCCAAGGTGGGAAGATTGCTTAAGGCCAGGAACTCAAGACCAGCCTGGGCAACAGAGCAAGACGCTGTCTCTACAAAAATATAAGAAAAAGTTAGCCAGGTGTGGTGGTGCAGGCCTGTAGTCACAGCTACTTGGGAAACTGAGGCAGGCAGATTGAACTCAGGAGTTTGAGGTTGCAGTTAGCTATGATGATGTCACTGTACTCTATCTAGCCTAAGAGACAGAGCAAGACTGTGTCTCAAAAAAAAGAAAGAAAGAAAACAAAACAAAACTACATAGAGATAAAGAGAGAAGCCCAAGAAGCCCCAAGTATTCCTGATCCCAATTGTTTAAGTCTTTTCAGCATTAACCATCAGACACATGATGGAGTTAGTATTCTAGATGATTCCAGTTCCGAGTATTAGTCAGGATCCTCCAGAGAAACTATCACCCAATTATGCAGGCTGGCAAGTCCAGCATTTGCAGGGTAGCACTGTAGGTCGGAAACCCACGGAGGATCCATGTTGCAAATCAAGTCCAAAGGCAATCTGATGGCAGAATTCTCTATGTTCCTTCAGTCTGTTTTCTCTTAAAGCCTTCAGCTGATTGAATCAGCCCCACCCATATTATGGAGAATAATCTGCTTTATTCAAAATCTACTAGGCCAGGCTCACGCCTGTAATTCTAGCACTCTGGGAGGCCAAGCCGGCGGATCGCTCCAGGTCAGGAGTTCGAAACCAACCTGAGCAAGAGCGAGGCCCTATCTCCACTAAAAATAGAAAGAAATTAATTGGTCAACTAAAAACAAATAGAAAAAATTAGCCCAGGCTGAAGTACAGTGGCTACTGACAAGTGAGAACCCACTACTGATCAGCACGAGAGTTCTGACATGCTCCGCTTTTGAACTGGGCCGGTTCACCCCTCCTTCGGCAACCTGGTGGTCCCCTGCTCCCAGGAGGTCACCATATTGACTGGACATCCGATTGGCATAGCGCACTACAGCCCAGAACTTCTGGGCTCAAGCGATCCTCCCACTTCAGCCTCCCTAGTACCTGGGACTACAGGTACGCACCACTGTGTCTGGCAAAATATTATATTTGTGAGAGTTATCTTTAAACTTATTTTCATTGTTGCTTAGTATTTCATTGTATGAATATCCCTCAGCTTACTTACCTATTCTCCTACTGATGAGCATGGTGGCGCACGCCTGTAGTCCCAGCTACTCCGGAGGCTGAGGCAGAAGGATCGCTTGAGCCCAGGAGATTGAGGTTGCTGTGAGCTAGGCTGACGCCACGGCACTCACTCTAGCCTGGGCAACAGAGTGAGACTCTGTCTCACAAAAAAAAAAGAAAAAGAAAAGAAAGAAAGAAAGCTCAGGGTTTATAAGGGCTTTCGAACTTTGACATTTGAATAGCAAGCCATTGTTGATCTAACCTACATCTAATTCCAAACCTTCCACAATGATTTGCTCTATAACTCTAGAAAAAGGAATTTAACCTGTGTGGACCTAGTGTTAGCAAGAATTCCAATTTTAAGGTATATATCTTTTTTTGAGGTATAAGGTATGACTTGATGATTTGATGGAACTATAAGACAAACAGCTAAATCAGTGGTAGCACCTACATTTTCTCCTACTACGCTGTTTGAGTTATTGGTTTGCAGCGGTTGGTATATCATTCAGGAAATATATCCTCTAATGTGAAAAGTTGACATGAAAAGAAAAAAGATGGCCTTCACAAGCTTCGCAATCAAAAATAAAATATAGCCGGGCGCGGTGGCTCACGCCTGTAATCCTAGCTCTCTGGGAGGCCGAGGCAGGTGGATTGCTCAAGGTCAGGAGTTCAAAACCAGCCTGAGCAAGAGCGAGACCCCGTCTCTACTATAAATAGAAAGAAATTAATTGGCCAACTGATATGTATATAAAAAAATTAGCCGGGCATGGTGGCGCATGCCTGTAGTCCCAGCTACTCGGGAGGCTGAGGCAGAAGGATCTCTCGAGCCCAGGAGTTTGAGGTTGCTGTGAGCTAGGCTGACGCCACGGCACTCACTCTAGCCTGGACAACAAAGTGAGACTCTGTCTCAAAAAAAATAAAATAAAATAAAATAAAATATAACTTGTTTAATACAGTGCTATACATATGGCTAACAGTTAATGAAAACTCATTGAGAACGGATGGATAGATCAATTCATTCATTCATTGAGATGAATTGATCTCACTTCATCTCACTTCACTGAGATGAAGTAGACTAGGAGGAACTAGTTGGAAATCCAAGGCAGAACAAAGTCCACTTCTTAAATATCTGGTTGTTCAGATCAAAGTAGCTTTTTGGGATTGAATTACATATCTGGAATACCGTTTTAATTCCACACTTCACTTTTGTTGGCTAATCCCTCCCTTAAAATTGGTAGTGAAATGTTCTGTGGAATAGAGCCAAGCATTGGAGTTAGTTTCTTCTTCTTTCTTAATTTCTTGCAATGTCAAAGCAAACCAGGTCTTAGCACAAGCCTGAGATTGACTTTAAACCAAAAAAAGACCTTAGAATCATATATACACTCATTCATTATAACAATGGTGAGATATTAGAAACAATGAGTACATTTCAAAAACATTCTTCAAAAAAAAAGCATTATTGAGTTAAAAAAAGGAGATTGCTTAAACAATGTTTGTAGCCTGACATTTATACAAATAAAACCGCAAATAATTCTATGTATATTTACAAATATATAACAATATACAAAAATGATAAACTCCGATGGTGGGGAGAAGATCTGAATTAGGGTGAAGCTGATTTGGATCATTTAATTGCTATGATTTGCTTCCATCTTATTAGATTTCCTCAACAAGATTTGTGAATGAGACAACCAGTATATTTATATGTGAGTACTAAGTCATTCCTATTTCTCCCAAGTTAAGTTTTATACCTATTAAGAAAGAGAACACACTTCTGCAATGTGTGATTTTAGAATGTTTTTAAGCTTCAAAAATTATATTTTCCTACATTTAATCTCCATGAACCTTTCAAGATAAGTTTTTTTTAACGTTGAGTGCTCTCTTTTCTTTAATGTTTTTCCTATTGAAATTTACTTTAAATAGCATAACTAATAGACATGGTGATCAATTTAACTATACAAAGGTAACTCTTTTTTCTTAGAATGCTTTTAAAGAGAAGAATATCTCTCTTTAGAGCATCTCTCTGTCTTTATGCTGATTTATGGCCTAATAATGCAAATGAAATGTGCAGTGGAACATCTCATATCAAGAGAGCTGCAAATTTTAAAAAGCTGAAGGATATGTCAGAATGAGGTTATATGTAGTCAAGCCAGGTTATATTTTGCAAGGTGTGAACCACCCTATTTACAGGCAGTGGAAAGTTTTAAACTTTTGACAGGAGATTTTCTGTGGCCATTCTGAAAATAGAAAAAGGCAGCTGAGTGCCCAGCCTACAAGGAGGCCCCCAGGTTTTAATGAGACTTACCAGCTACTAAAAACACTTCTGGAATCCCAGGCCTGTGTGCTCCCCACCTGTTGAACAAGAAATGAAAGCATGTGAGCATTTGGTTACAAATCCTACAGCATTAACAGAAGGCCCACAAAATATTATAAGGGGTAAAAAGCAGCTGAAAAACTGACAAGCAGAAATAAGAATAATGGGCCAGGCGCGGTGGCTCACGCCTGTAATCCTAGCTCTCTGGGAGGCCGAGACGGGCGGATCGTTTGAGTTCAGGAGTTCGAAACCAACCTGAGCAAGAGCGAGACCCCGTCTCTACTATAAATAGAAAAATTAATTGACCAACTAATATATATAGAAAAAATTAGCCGGGCATGGTGGCGCATGCCTGTAGTCCCAGCTACTCGGGAGGCTGAGGCAGGAGGATTGCTTGAGCCCAGGAGTTTGAGGTTGCGTGGCTAGGCTGATGCCACGGCACTCACTGTAGCCTGGGACAAAGCGAACTCTGGTCTCAAAAAAAAAAAAAAAAAAAAAAGAAATAAGAATAATGACAATGAGATAGCTGGTTTTGGAAATATAAGTGATTGAATATATTTTTAAGCATGAATTGAAAAACTTGTGTAAAGCAAATATATATACTGTTCCAACATATGCTGATAATTTATTAAATATATGTGTACTTTATAATTGTCATTATTTTACATATAAGCAGTCATATTATAACTATTTTATGTAACTTTTATATATTTAATATAAGACGTTTTATGTAACATATATGCAATGAACACTTGTATAACCTCTAATAACCTCAGGACTTTCACACGTCTTGTCATGTTTAATTCTTATCAAAATCTATGATATATTACCATCACTCCTCTTTCACAGATGAGGAAGCTGATTGGAAAGGTAAAGTGATTTGTTCATGGACCATCTTCTGAATCCCAAACATGTGCTTTTCCATTATACCATGTGGTTGTGCAAAGCAGTTAGATATTCATTAGAAAGGGCAATGGGATGTGGATTTATGTACTTTGGCTTGTGAAATGTGATATACAAAATGGCATCACTCATGTTCAGAGCTCTAAAATGGAGTTGGGAAGCCATTCTAAGAAGAACTGACTGCATGTCCTGCAAACTTACAAAAAAAAAAAAATCCCCCCAAAACAAATCCTGCTTTGAACCCTTGAACTGGGCCAAACTGCAACAATCCAATCTTGGAAAATATTGATGTTGTCTCATAGATCTCATAAACTTTGGTTCCTTTTTATTCTTTTTTCTCATCTGACTATTTTCAAATAGTCTATCTTCAAGCTCACTGAATCTTTCTTCTGTTTGATCAGCTCTTCTGTTGATACTCTCTATTGCATTTTTTATTTCATTCATTTTATTTTTCTGCTCCAGGTCTCTGTTTGATTTTTTTATTATTTCAATCTTTCTTAAATTTTTCTGATAAGTTTCTGAATTGATTCTCTATGTTTTACTGAAGTTTGTTAAGCTTCCTTAAAATAGTTATTTTGAATTCTTTGTCTGAGAGATCACACATCTCTATCACCTTAGGTTTAATCTCTGGTGCCTTATTTTGTCTGTTTATATCCCTGAATGTTCTTGATGTTTGTGGACATGTGATAATATCTGCACATTGAGGGATTAGGTATTTATTTTAATCTTCACAGTCTGCTTTTATCTGTGCCTGTCCTTCCTCAGGGAGCCTTCTCGGGGATTCTAAGCAGACTGATGTGTTCTCTAAGGCTGTGATCACTGCAGATGTCCCAGAAGTAGAGTAAACTCTATGTGCAGGCTTGCCACAAGTCTTACAAGGGCTCAGAAGTTAATGTGGCTTTCTAGATCAGATGGATATAAGGAAGACCCAAGGAGAGCATTGGGGCTGTGTGGGAGCACTGGCCAGGGAACAAAGTCCAGAAAACTGTCCCAGTGGCCCAGATGGACATACATCTCAGCAGATCTCTGCATCAGCAGGATGGGTTCCCAACCTCAGCAAGAGGGGCTGTCTCCCCATAGTCTTTCAACTTGGGGAACTCCAGGGTTATCATTGGTTTCTGTTAGTTCCTCCAGCTCCCATTCACTTAATTGGCTTAGATTTTTTTGGAAGCCCACAAAGCTTACATTTCTTTCTCTTAAAAGGGAGAGATGCAATTACCATCGGAAAAAGTATTAATACTAAAGAGGGAATCCTTGAGGAACTCACAGAACTCTACATCCCTATATTTTTAGTTCATGAAAACAAGAAGAAAATATCTCTTAGTGAAAACTTATGGTCCAAATACACCACTGACATTGGCTGATTCATTCAGCACCACCAGTTAAAATACAAATAGATTAAACAAAAACCTTCCAAATACTAAACAATATGTCAAGAAGCCATTCAAGGAATTAAACCAATTATTGAAGATTACCTCAAACAGAGGCTAATCATTCATGTACTAGGCCATGTAATACCCCATTCTATAGATACAAAAACTTAATAACTGGGGATATAGATTTGTCCAAGACATAAGAGCCATAAATGGCATTGTAATGCCCCATGATCTTGTTGTACAAAGCCCACATACATTACTATCAGCCATGTCACCAGGCAGTAAGTTTCTACTATAATTGACCTCTGCAGTGCTTTATTTAGTATCTTGGTTGATCTAGATAGCCAATATCTTTTTGCCTTCATGTGGGAAGGACAACAATATATCTGGACAGGAATGCCTCAGGGGTATACTGAAAGTCTCACATACTTCTCCCAAGTCTTAAAAGCAGACATAGCAGACTTGAATTTTTTGTTCCTCCACTCTAGAGGCCTCCATAATGGACAGCTTCTACCTATTTAAAGAAATTAGCCACCAAGGGCCATAAAATTTCAAAAGAGAAGGTACAACTTTCTCTCCTACAAGTAAAATATTTAGGACATGTAATTTCAGGACAGGGTCTTTCACCTGATCCCCTAAGAATAAAAGCAATTTTGGCTTTTCCTGCCTCCATGACCAAAGACAACCCCATGAGTTCTTGGAATTAGCAGTATACTATACACAATAAATCCTACATTTCTCTACCATGGCTCAGCCTCTATATTCCATCCTAAATAGTGACTACCTCAAACATCTACAATGGCCAGAAGAAGCTTTTTGAGAATATTAAGGAGAATTTTCCTGAGCCCCCTGAGTTAGGTAGGACATCCTAATGACAACCTCACCTTCTCCTTTTTTATTCATAAGTAAATGAAAATTTCTTGGGGCTTCTTACCCAAAGGCATGGAGACCATCAGAAACTCCTCAGATATTACAATCAACAATTAGACCCTGTGGCAACGGAACTCCCACCCTGTATGCAAGCCATTGCAGTCACTGCACATTTATTAAGGGCAATGGAAGAGTTGATTATGGGCTCTCCATTGTTTATGTTCCTCACTCTATTGACACCTTATTTAACTTCATCATATCCAACATTTCTCTGCTAGCAGACTCACTTCTTACAAGATTCTTTTATCACCCTCTAATGTAACTATTGGTTGCTGCGACTCTTTGAATCCTACCACCTTACTTCCTCTTCCTTCTGACAAGATACCACATGACTGTATAACCGTAACTGATACTTTACTAACCCCAAGAAAGGACCCACTGGAAACCCCCATTCCAAATGCGGAACTTATCTGATTTACCGATGGATCCTACCTTCCAAATAATTCAGGGAAATGTCAACCTGGCTATGCTATTGTTTTGCTGTCTGAAACTATTGAAAATGGTTGCTCACTCAAGGCCACTTCTGCCCAGTTGGCAGAACCCTTTTCTCTCTCCCAAGCACATATGCTGACAATTAATAAGACTGCAAATATCTATACTGATAGCCCCTATGCTTTGGGGATGGCATGTGCCATTTTGTTATGCTCTGGAAACCAAAAGGTTTTCTATCTCTACTGGCCAAAAGATAAAAAACAGTGACTATGTCCTAGAATTACTTGAACCTATCCAAAAACCTAAGTCTTTAGCAATAATTAAAATCTTAGGACACACAAAAACTGTTACTAAAGAAGGTAAAGAAAATTACTTGGCTGACACAGCTGCAAAAGCTGAAGCTTCTATGAACCATCTGCCCATAGCTCAATGCCCCCTCAAGCTCTCTGATGGCCAATTTGATACTGTCAAAAACTGCATTCCTGATGCACAGCAGATAGTTCCCCAAAATGAAAAAAACAAATGGAAAACTCGAGGATGTTTTCATAACCTAAAACCAACCTATGGTGTGGGCCCAATAAGAGACCAGTCTTGCCAAATGTCCTCCAAGAGCAAATTTTAGATTATATTCATCACTTAACCCATTGGGAAACTGATAAAATGAATCTTTGGGGAAAACAATATTATTAGAAACTCTCCCCAAAGGTCACTTCTCTAGTTTATCAAAGATGC